TTAGATGCTAAATTTTTTTTCGATCTCCATATGTTTGTTTCAAAGGGCTGTCTGGTCAGTGACCACGAATAGTACGTCATGAAAATCTCCACTAGTAGGATATTTTGTATTTCTATATTTTATTTTTACCCTTGTGTTGGGCAAGGCCGTGGTCTAGGCAACACGGAGTTTTCCTCCGTGGCATCCCAACAATTACTCCATTCACACTCACACAGAAGAAGGCAATGGCAAACACCTTCTGGATCATCTGCCAAGAACGTGTATGAACAGGTCCCAGTCCGAGAAAAGGATGGAAGGATCCTGTTCATATGGACCTGTCGTCAGACAGAACACTAAATAATAATAAGATGAGGTGGTCTAGGCAACACGGAGTTTTCGTCCGTGGCATCCCAACAATTACTCCCTTCACACACAGAAGAAGGCAATGGCAAATCACTTCTGGATCATCTGCCAAGAACGTATATGAACAGGTCCCAGTCCGAGAAAAGGATGGAAGGATCCTGTTCATATGGACCTGTCGTCAGACAGAACACTAAGAGAGTCACATCTGAAGAGTTCTAATCAGAACTTGAAACTCCTTCCTCAATTACATCACGGCCTAACAACAAATAAAGCATTTTTGAAATGAAAAGTTCGTCTGGCTTTTGAGAATCAAATTAAAAGTCTCATTAACAATTAAAATTACTGGCATTGATATTTGTGACACGTCTGGTGTGCCATCGGGTTGAATAAGGCTACATGGGGGTGTGTTGCGAGGTACAATTCTACTACCTAATCGACTATTTCTCAGTGGGTCCGTTCCTTAAAGACATAATATGGATTTATTTCACAGTATTACACTTGATTATTTTCTAGATTCACAAATGACTGTCCTAATTATCGGGATTCTAATGTTCTCTTCTATTCTGATGACGTGTACTCCAGCTCTGTAACAGCTGACAGTGAAAACAAATGATCGACCACCGGACGTCCAAAATTCTTTTCACGGCCTTCCAGAACGTTCGTGCACGTTCAAAAACACTTGCCAGTTGCTGGAACGTCGCGTGAGCTGTACGTGTTAAGACAAGGCCGCTGTAGCTGGACGGTGAGGGCACAGAAATGCCAGTCAGGTTTTAAAAGTGCGAACGAAGTTCATTAATTAGGTCTTTTCGCCTGATACAATCGTAAAAAAACCAGCAGGAGACTCCTCCAATACCGTGCCAGGAGGCGAATCATTGGGACAAAGAATTATTATTATTTCATCGCTGTTTGCATTGTACTCAATAAAGACATCGATAATCAAGGCCCCAAGTGCTGATTGTTTCCGCTTACAACCTGCGAGTTTGTGTCTAGTTCGATTTCTCTGTAATTCAATATGGTAGCACTTGAATCTGCTTCTAATTTCTGACTTCTACGTCATGAAAATTACAGCAACATACAAATAAACGATAAAATATTATTTGGCTGTTTCGTAAGCAAAATTCAGCGGCCATTTCTCAACCGTGTTTCTCCAGATTCTCTACTAGATGGCTCTAGCAAACATATGCCAGGGTTTTTCTGACCCCACAACAACGTAGTTCTGGACCAGGCGCGTAAGAATATTATTATAGCCGCCGGCGTTTATACTGTGCTCGAAATAGTTTCAATGTGATTATGATAATGCTTTATTTACTGCTGATTAAATGACACTTTGTCCACTACATACGTTACATTGGGTCGAATGTCAGGACAACAAACAGGAAGGAAGAGATTGCAATCTAAAAACACGTTCCCAGGATTTGTATCACGTGACTGTGGGAGGACAAAGGCATCCAGGAAGTTTCGACTCCGGAACTTGGGTGAATGGGAGTGAACATTCCACATTATGATCGGTGAAGATTTCTTACAATGAAATACACAGAAACCTATTATAAAATTAAGAAAAAGATGACCCCTTCAATTTGTAATAACTATGTTGTGACATTTTGCAGGAAGGGTCTC